TAGAAATAGATCCTGTTTAACTCTGAATGTTATGAAACACGTTGTAACGGTGACTTTCCTTCTCTCCACTGACTACGGTGACATTTACATGAACGCTCCTACAAACACTCTGCAGATGTTGGATGCTGTATATCACGGTGAACTAAGATTCATAACTGGCTGTAACTACCGTACCCATCATTGCACATTCACTGGTTAATTGGTCATTATTAACTTCGCGCAGACTCTCACTGGCACATTTTCATCTTTAAGTCACTTCTTGGTCTGTTGCCTTCATACATCTCCTCCTACATGTCACTGCATGAGTGCAGCTACAGCGTGCGCTCTCAGGACATTATTACATGCAGTGTCCCCTCAGTGCAGACTAAACTAGGTAAAACGGCATTCTCTTCCTCTGCTCCTGTTTTTTGGAACACCTTGCAGAAGCTCTCGACCTTGACCTCTAAGTGATTTTAAACAACTGCTCATGGCCAAAATCAACACAGACATGTTTCTGTTTTTAATATTGTGCATCACTTTATAATGTAGCTGCTTTTGTTTGTTTTTTATTGAATTTCTTACATTCACTTTTCATTTTATCCATTCATTCAGCCTTTATTTAGACAGATTAATCCCATTCAGCCTGGGGGACTCTTTTACAAGAGAGACCTGATTTATATGTCTTTTTACATGATTGTCTATTAATGTCTGTACCTCATCTGTGTTCTTTGTTTAAAACAGGTCTCTTGTAACCGAGTCCTCGGGCTCAATGAGACTAACCTGTATAAATAAAGGTTGAATGAATGAACATTCATGCCCATGACAAGTGAATGGAAACCTCTTGTCACAACTGTGTAAAATGTGCAACGAGACCGTTTACTCCAAATGTTCAGGAACATCAGCATTGACATTTATTAAGTTTAATAAAACATGCCTCAAAGTTGATTGTAGCTAAATGTTCTGTTCTTTAAATGTAAATTTCGTCTGCCCCGGTAACCTTATTGTCCAAATCAGCACGCAGCTCATTTTTGATCACTGTGATGAATTTTACATCCTGCTGTTTGTTCCCAGATCTAAAGTTGGTCATTTTTATTACACACGCTCACACACACAGCAGCTCAGTCGGTGCAAGTTACTTGAGGCGACAGCCCGCAGAGTTGTGCAACAGAACTAAGCAGTGATTGGCTGAGAGTACAAAAGTGAACAGGACGTCCCAGCCTACTTTCAACTCTTTAACTGTGTGGAAGACACATCGTGTTCCTCCGAGTGAGCATTTTGAGTGTGTGTGTGTTTGTGTGTGTGTCTGTGTGTATGTGCATATGGAAAGGCTTTTCTCTATATCGGTGTGTAACTGCACAGAGCGCACTATCCTCATTTGACCCAAACTGAATCTGGGGCCAACTGGGTTACATAAAGCCTGCTGCTCTGTTGCCCTCACCAGCCAGAAGCCTGAAATCTCTGTGTGTGTGTACATGTGCACATGCTTGTGAAAGTTGCCACTGGGAAGGACAGAGATTTAAAGAGGAAACGAGCGTTTTATGTGAAAACAGAAAAAACTTGTTAGATTTGCCTTTGTCAAAAAATCTCCCTTTTAAAACACTTTCACTTGAGAGAACATTTTGATACAATTCAGACGAAATTAGAATGATAATTTGTTTGTTCATCCACCCATCCATCATTTTCGATGGATTTTTATCCATCATTGTCATAATAATCATCATCATCTTTACCTGCTTCTTCCTTTTTGGGTCACTGGTGCCTACATCCAGCCGTCAGTGTGTGAGAGGCAGGGGACACCTGGACAGGTGTCCAGTCCAACAGGGACACTTTTTTTTTTCTTCTTCTTCTTTTTAATTTACCCATTATTTATCCAGGTAGTCTCATTGAGCCACGAGGACTCATTTTCAAGAGAGACCTGTTTGGGGAGCAGATGGGGGTTAAGGGCCTTGCTCATGGGCCCAGAGTGGGGCGAATGAGGGTGAGGGCAGGTGTGTGTGCTTCACCTACCCCACCCACATTTTTGATGTTGTCGGAACCGGGGCTTGAACCGGCGATCTTCCGATCACAGGCTCACCTTCTCTAACCTCTGCGCCACCACTCCCCCAGTTACATAGAGACAGTGACTGTAAAAATCAGTTTTGATGCAACAGCAAGAAAAAAACAGAAAATATAATTCTGCAAATAGACCCACTTGAAAAAATCTACACTCTCTTTTGATAAATTCAAAACCAAGTTTTGCAATTTTTTGTAAATTTATTAAAATGAAAAAACTGAATTGTCTCATTTAAACAATCAGACTTTTTGCAACAAAAAATTAAATTTAGTCCAGTTCCTCCTATTTTATTTTATTTTTATTTTTTCATTTCTGAGTACCTGTGGTAAATTAAACTGATTGGGCATGGTTTGGAAAGGAACTGCCAACACCATCCCAACAGTGAATCATGGTGGTGGCAGCATCGTGCTGTGGATGTGTGTTTTTTTAGCAGCAGCAAGTCCTGCAGAGCTCATAGCTGCTGCACTGAAGGTTCCCACAATCTCAGTGGCCTCGAGTGTCCTCAAATGGAAGAAGTTTGGTACAACCAGGACTTATCCAGAAGCTGGCTGCCTGGCCACACTGGTAATCCTCTCCTCAGAGTGAAACCCTTGAAATCCAGTTTGAGTCTTAAACTGTGAGGAACAGATTTCTCTGGTCCAAAGAAACCAAGACTGAACTGTTCAGTTAAACACATTTGTTCAACACCATTGCATCATGGTGTACTTTTTAACAGTGAGTAATTGGAGACCAGTCTGTTAAATCCTTAATAAAACCTGTTTCTCAGAGCTCAGACTAGGCAGAAGGTTCACCTTCCAACATGACAATGTCCCAAAGCACAAAGAGAAGACAACTCAGGAGTGGCTTAGAGACAACTCTGTGAATGTCCTGCAGTGACACCCTGACTTAAAGCCATCAAGCATCTCTGGAGAGACATGACATTAGATCCACCAGTAGTCCCCATCCTTTTGTAAAGAAAATGTCAAAATCTTCTCATTCAGGTGTTTGTTGCATCCAACCTGAAAAAAAGACAACTGCTGATAAAGGTGCTTCAACTCAGTTCAACTCATTGTCCTTTTGGTTGCCATTTTATTTTAAATGGTTAAACAAAATTGTATGCATCTTTTATGATTGTCTATTGTTGTTGTTGTCATCTCTCTGTTAAAAATTCAGGTCTCTCTTGTAAATGAGTCCCCAAGGCTCAGTGGCGTTAACCTGTCTAAATAAAGGTTGAATGAATGAAAAAATCGTTGTCCGTGTTTCAGCAGCAGTTTCATTCATGCTCCGACCTCAGTGTGGAGCCAGACAACTGAACGATGTTTGTTGTTTTAATCCTCAGGTCACACACACACACACACACACACACACACACACACACACACACACACACACACATATGCTCAGGTTGGCAGGTTCATCCTTGATTTTCTTTTTTCATGTTTTTTTTTTTTCTTGCATTCCAAAATACTAAAAATCTGTTCTTGACTTTTTTTGTAAATATTACTTTTAGGTTTTCTAACAAGTGCAGTGATTAGGGAGACAGATTGTTTTTACATAGTGGAATAAAATACAGTATAAAGTGTAACAAGGTTAAGTCAGGTCATCTGGACAGATGCTTTGTTGAGAAGAGTCTGTCCAGATGACCTGACTTAACCTTGTTAGATTATTTTACCTGGATTATTGAGCAGCATCAGGACACAGTGTAAGTGAAAAACTGTGTCAAACTGCATCAGGTCGGTTCTTTGTAAATTGTGTGCTGTTGAATCGTATTGGCGTCCATGTCTGATTTTCTAAATGTTTAACCAGTTTGCTTGGTTTATAATGGGGAAAAAAAAATCAATTTTTAGATAATAAAATTGTGTAACTAGAAATATGTTGCAGAAGCTGAAACCTTTTCTTGACTAAAGTGATTGTGTAGAAAGAGAAACAGGAGCCATCCATGAGCTATGATGTTGTAACTTACTGCTCAGTTTTAGAGCTCTGTTTCTGCTCGACTCGGTGGGTTTCATCTGAACACAGAGCATCCTGATGT